ATATATTAGATATGACGTATTTTATACTTTTCTTTCTTAAACATTGAGAATTCCATAGAACGACTTTTCCAGTTAAGAGTATACAAAGTCTACTCTATTTGCAACTAGTAATATTTTGTTGGCATTTACTTTCCGAGTTTTTGAGCTTCTGGTTTGGTGTCTATCGCCGCTTAGACAAATTGCTAATAAAAATTTGTGTGCGGCGCTCAGCCAGACTCCATTATAATTTCCTAGACAGCGTTTTATGGCGATTTAAAGGCGCGCCACGCCCCTAATGTCAGTTTAATGGAAACTGGGCATGAGCACGTTACAGCCAATCGTTTTAATTAGTTATGTAAATAGTTATTAATTAAACAGCAGCCAGACGCGCCGGCCAGAACATGTTAATGTTAATTAATTAACTAGAGACCAAGAAATATCAAGTTGAATAAAAGTAAAGATGATGGATTGGTGGATTGCTGGAATGATGGACTGCTCCAGCGCTGGAGATGGATGCAGCGACAGATGATGCGACGTGGGTTGCACAAACGGAAACCGCAACATTTCCAGTATTTCTTAAATTCCTTTTCTCGAATTTCTCGTACCCCAATTTCCTCTAGCTAAGAAACAATAATTACGCTCGAGCCGAAAGGAATTATTATAACCATCATAATTTTTTGTTCGACGCTTAATTGGCTGGCTGATGGCGGTCCGGCTCTCGGTGGCTCTCGGTGGTTCTCTGTGCCTCTCTGTGGTTTGCCGCCGGTCTAATCCCTTGACCCTCTCATAGGAATTGTCAATGCTGGTTACGCCCCTATTTCTGTGTCTAACGCCCATCTGTGTCGCTCTGTGTCGTTGTGTCTGTAATTTTCTTGTTGAGAGATTTTCTATGTGAAGGTTGTCCGATGCGGCAACGGTGGAAGCACGTCATAACGCTAAGCTGCACCAACTTTTATTACAATGGCAAATAATTTGCAGTTATGCGTTTTGTGTGCGACTAGCTGACATTGAGCGGGGAGCTCAGCTAGAGATGGGCGACAGTCGTGCCCAGCAAGTGCATTACGTGATACACTAACACATATCGAATATATTACATTTGCAAGGGATTTATAAAATTGATAAATAAATACTACATTTAGTTGTAATACATTTGATGATTATCAATTTGCAATACTTTTATATTATTAATATATCTTTTTTTTATATGAAAATAAAAATATTAAATTATAATTTACAAACAAAATTCCTTAATTTATTTATTTTCTACACTAGTACTACAGTTTATTGCAAATTAAAGACATCGATAATATTCCCGAATTGCTATACATACATATGTACACACACATATACTCGTACATATGTATATACTTGCATACAAATATTTTCATTTCACATTATGAATTCAATCTGTCATAAGAAAATAATTTAATTTAATATACAGCATATCCGAAAGGAAATAGAGATAGAGCACATAGAAAATTATGAATATTTAATTAAATACTTTTAGCAAATGAAATTAATTAATTTGTGCATTGCAACCTGAGAAGTCCACGATTATTTGTGCTCTTACGCATCCCTAGCTGCAGTGCAGTCTATAAACTATATATGATGTAAAGTAGAAGGAGACAGAGACAGGGAGAGAGGGAGAGACAGACTCAGTTTCATACGTTCTGGGATCGGCTCCACTGTGCACAAGCAAGGCCCTGGGCAAGGCCCACGCGACAGCTAGTTTGTCTGTGATTCAAGCAATGCACTTAAGTTTTGAGCAACGCCTGACAGGGCAATTGACGGGGCCAGACATTGAGAGAGGAAGAGAGGAACAGGGGAAGAGCGGGAGAGAGTGACACAGGCACGGCAGTCAGGCAGCCCCCAGAGTGGGGAGTCAGGTTCTAGAAGTTGTGGGCCGCTCGCTCGCCTGTGCTGCGGATTGGGCGCGCTATTTTGCACACTAAAAGGTGCTAATTGAACTGAAATCGATTGATTATTCATTGCAAGTGCTGCTCAACGGACTCAACGGGCTCAGCACCAGCAACAGCAACAGCAACAGCAGCAACAACAACAGCAACAGCAATGGCAACGGCAACTATATTAATTTGTAACTTTTGCCCTGGCCCTGGTGCCATTAAATCGCGACTGTCACTTTAGGCCGACTTGATGACACGCACATGGTACACCCAGGTATGCCGCGTACGCCAATGTCCATCCGTCCGTCTGCCTCTCTCTCTCTCTCTCTCTCTCTCTCTCTCTCTCTCTGTTTGCAGTCAACGTATCGATAACAACAACAGTCGGGACAGCCGGTTGACGGGGGGCCTATTGGTCCTGGGCGCATAAATTGTCTGCTGCCATGTGACGTCAGTCAGTGCCAGAGTCAGAGTCAGAGTCAGAGTCAGAGCCGGAGACACAGCTAGTGCCAGTGCCAGTCCATGGGTCGCGGCTGGACAGGATTTTTGCAGGAGCCTTGGCGTAAGGATCGCGTGCAAAAATGCGACTTTGGACGTCTCACGGTGGCACGCAGAACTTTTCGTCGCATTCGCATCAGAATGCAAATAAAACATTTCAAATGCACAACACAAACAGATAGCGCTGCAGAGTGGGAGATAGGGAGAGAGTGGAAGAGGGGGAGGAGACAGCCTGGATGAGTGTGGGCAGCCTGGCACTGATAGGGACTATTTAACCCATTTAATGAAAGCAGCAATTGCATCTGCTCGAGACGCTAAATTCCAGTTTCTATCTTAGAGACTTCGATTGGCAGCTCGGGTTGCTGTTGTGATTATAAGCTGCTCTTTATGTAACGGTAACTTTCTTTGAGTTAAGGCTTCGATTCGGGCATCAATTTGGACTCATTTTTGGGGAAAACAATTTGGTTTTACTTTTTACAAAAAAAAATCGATACAAAACGTTGTCGGCTGGCAAATTATAGCGAACCGACAAAAAGCCAAACAGAGCTGGGAGGAGATGGGCCGGAGGATGGAGCCGGACGGACAGATATGAGCCTTGTGGCACCACAGCGCCACAGTACGAGACAAGCAGAAAGCGAGTGCGAGAGAGAGAGAGAGAGAAAGAGAGAGAGGGAAGAGAGAGAGAGAGAGGAAAAAGAGCTCTCCATTAAATTCGCATTTAGGCTGTCAATCATTTGCGCTAATTTTTGTGGACTGAAGAATTGGCCCGCTGGCCGGGGCTGGAATGATGTTTGCTGGGTTCCTGTCTACTCCTGTCGATGGCTTCCAATGAAGATTAATTTTGTTTTTCGAAAGCATAGCGCTGAATTTAAGTGGAATTTCTCGCTGTGTGAAAACTAAGCCAACGGCTCAACAAAGCCGCCCGGCCAGCACACAAAGCAAGAAGAAACAACAAAATCCTTAAAGAAAGGCGACTCAGCAACAACAGAACTCTAGAGGGGAAGATCGGATGCTCCGGCCGCATTTAACATGAACTCAATTTGCCAGCGAGCTCAACACTTGTTTCAGTTGTTCCTTTCTCGTTTCAGGTTCTCCCCTACCTCAACAGCTCATGAGCTCGGGGTCAGCGATGCGTCCATTGTCCAATTTGCCGATTGTAATCTGAGTCGCATGCAAATTTATCTGCCTAATTTGTGAACAAGTACGGGCCTTTAGCTCATTGCGAAGGTCAGCATAGCTGTATAATGGGTGCAGCGAATTAGTATATCAAGTGAGCAATTCAAGCTCAGTTAATAATTCACAATTTGCATTTATAACAATTGGGCAGGCCAACGGGAATCAGTAAACACCAAAATCCGATTATGAAAGAGGATTACATACGATGTAGAGGCTTAGTAGAACATACGGTGTTGAGAAGCATACAATATTGAGTAGATACTTAGTGGAGCATACGGTGTCAAGTGCAAGCTAAGTAGAACATACGTTGTTGAGTAGAAGCTGAGTATAGCATGCGGTATTAAGAAGAAGCTTACCTAAATATGCGATGTTGAGTAGAATCTTAACAAAAGACGCGGTGTTGAGTAGCAACTTCATATTCATCACTACAGTAAAAATTCTAAGGACAAAAATTGATGCCTGGTAAAAAGGAAATAATATTTACAATTTCGTGAAAATAATAATGAAATCTGTTAATCTGTTAAAAGTTAATTACGAATTTCTGAAGCGCTTCTGAATGTGTTAAAATATGTT